CCTGAGCACGGGAGATGCTGCTGCCCGCCACCTCTGCTCACCTCCCCGGGCGCCCGTTCCATTCCCCGAGGCCGAGCCCCGTTCCTGACCTGCCTGGCATCCTCCTGCGCCTGTCACCGGGCTGCCAACTCGGATCCTGGCCGGGTCCCCGGGATGGATGGCTACGGAGCCATGCCTTGCTCAGGCAGCAGGGCAGGCAGCACGGATGGTGCTGGGAGTCACTGCTGAGGAGAGCGGGAGCTCCCCACTTTCCAGTCCCCTCTGTCATGGCCCTCCACATGCCCCAGCTGCCGTGGAGCAGCAAGGATGCTGCCCTTCACGGGGGGCACGACAGCCCTGGCTCGTCCCGAGGCTGTGGGACCCCCTGAGGCCAGCCAGCACGGGAGCGACGGCAGCAGGAGATGAGAGGCTGCCAGGGAGCGCGGTGCTGAGCTTTGAAGGCACCCTGACAGGTTGTCGGGGCCCCGCCAGCCGTGCTGACAGCCTGGTGCAGAGACACCCCCCGCCGCCGCTGCTGCGCTCTGATCACAGCCTCACCCGTCACTTCAAAGCACCCGCCGGGCTCAGGTGGGCTCCCACGCAGCCTCCTGCCCCACGGCTCCACTCCTCCTCCCCTATGGCCCCACTTCTCCTGCCCCACGGGGCCCAGATCCACTGGAGTCCCCAGCTCCAGGGTGGGGGATACCAGGGTGCAGCATTGGGGACCAAGGCACACATGTCCCGAGCAGCGCTGGCAGGAGGCGATGGCACCCCCAGGCCTGGCACTGCCCTGCCTCTGTGGGGCCTCTAGCCCCAGAGCAGCTGCAGCTGGGGACCCTGGGGGTCCAGGCGGGGACCTAGGGGAGACTGCAATGCCAGGGCAGGGGATGAGCTGCGGTCCAGCATCCTCGGGGCATGGGGCTCACGCAGGGTGGCTGGGACAGAGCATCACCATCTGGACACTGGTGCCCACCATGCTGGGGCACTGCAGGCTGCAAGTTCACCCAGGCTGGGGTAATGCAACAACCCCCCCTCCCACCCATGTCCCAGACTGGCTCGGGGAGGAATTTTCCATTCCCGAATGGAGGTTGGGGGAAGGCGTGTGTTTGCAGCAGCCCCCTCCTCTCCCTCCCCTTGCCCGTCACCGGAGCAGCTCAGGAAGGCGCCTGCTACGTTCGTTCGCCTCCAGGAAGGCGTAAAGCAAAAGCCTCCCAGGAGGCAGAGCTCCCTTGAGAGGATCGGGAACCCTGGTCAGCCTCAGGAGCAGCCTGCACCCCACTTTCCAGAGGAGCCGCCCTTCCTGCAGCCATGCCGCTGCCCCTTGCCTGCTGCAGGCACCAGC